ATTGTTGTTATGGAGACTATAGTAGGAGCTCATATAACATTATCCACCGACCACAAGAGCCGCCAGTAAGCGCCATGGTTAATAGGATGTGTTCGAGTTAAGCACTGAGGTCAGAGTTAATTATCTTGGGGAGGTTTTGGAGAAAGATTTATAGCTTTACGGTATAAAGTTTTCATATCTGATATATAAACTGTCGGTCCAAAAAATTCCAGTTTCGACAGTGGCACCCTTTAAATCTACAGATGTTATGTAACTCTGTGGTATCATAACACATTCCCCAGTGTATTGTATGCAGATGTGTTTGAGGGGTGGATGTTGCCGTACGTTGTGTTAAATTGCTATTCTTAATGTTTAAAAAAAAAAGGTGTTATTATAATTTGATGCATATCTTGAATCTCTCAACAATTCCCAATCACTTTTACCAAAAGCCTTTCAGTTAACATAGTTTGAAGTCAAAATGTCAATGGCAAAGGTCAATGGCAAAGGACTACAGTTCAAGTGTAATAAAACCAAGAGGGCTCTTTTTTCTTTTTCCTAGAGTTGGTCTGTTGCTTTAATACATTGTCACTGTGAACATGTAAATCAGTGTGGACAGTTTACAAAGAACGCCTCCTCTCTACAAATGTTTACTATGATCCTCATGTCATGGAGGGATTTCTAATGCACACAAAGAGACAATTAAAAGTCTGTAAACATATGCATGTGCACATCTACTTTGTGTGCGAGCATGTTAGGTTTAGATTGCATGTTGCCTCTTTGATGTGAGAGGATGAATGACACAGATTAAGCTGTCAGACTTTCCTGATAGAGGCCAGATGAGGTGGGATGACAAATCAAGGCCTCGGTGAAGCACTCAGGCAGCTTGCCAAACCAATAACGTGTGCATCTGTGATCTTGTGTGTGGATTTGTGGTTATGAGTAAGTGGGAACTACGCAGATCTGTTTCCATTTACTCTTTATTAATTCTTAACAAGTAGGAATGTCAGGAATATTAAAGAGTTGCTCGCTTGAGGAGGCTTCAGCTGAGCAGCTTTGACTTATTTATAGCCAAAACTCCTTTTTAATAAAGAACAACAAATTAACATCCCTCCCACAAGCACAGTTGAAAAGAAGCACTCAAACTACTCCCCCCCCCCCTTTGTCTTGTGTCCCTGTCTGACTACTTTATATCTGTTAATGATGACATGTAATAACAAGCTCAAGATTGACTTTAGTGCGTCACCCACTTCAACATATTGTCACTCCAACACACACACACACACACACACACACACACACACACACACACACACACACACACACACACACACACACACACACACACCACACATACAAAAACACAGACGCAATTTCTTGATATTGGCTCTCCATCGGCCACCCACATACACAAACTGGAAATCCAGCACACACACTGGTTTTCTAACACAAAAACACACACACACGTGTTACAGATTGCACTCACGACTTTCTTATTCTTCCAGCTCATATTCGCACACCCACTGAGATAAAGCGTAGTGACATCTTACATAACAATTTATTGTTACTGTCAAAAAGAACTTGGGTTCAAAGAGAGTGTAGATTGGCACAAATAGCTGAAAAAAGGCGACTAGCATTAAGGATGCTGGGGGGTCAGAGGTCGGCAAAAAAAGGCTACTATAACTCACTTGGAGTTGAACATCAGTTAAATAAAGGGAGCCACAAACATAATGTTTATGTCACATAAAGAGACACAAACAGCCTAACTGCACATCACTGATGTTCTCCCACTACATTGAATATTTGGACTTTGGTTCCCCTCCTAAACTGACAAATGTAGCAAATGAGAAGAAAAATCAAACGCAGCTGTTTGAGGTCCCGGGCCACGGGTTGTGGGGTTCCAGTCTGTCTCTCATGTCTGGCCACTTTGCTTCTTTTGAGGCCCTTTCTCAGCTCATTAAACAAGGCTTTATTGGCATGCCAATAGTCCACCTGTGAGTCATCCAAGCCATGACGGCAACTTCAATGTATGGCCAAGCACAGGGGTCACCGTTAAACAACAGTACTGCAAAGTCAAAAGCCAAATCTGCACGGAGGAAGCCTCATTTTGCTGTAAAACGCACTGCCACAAAACGCTGTGATGTTAACGTGACACTTGCTACCCTCATGGTGGTTCTGTTTCATCTGAACTGACGCCAGTGACATTCATTGACCACATTGGTGTTGTCACTCATATCGGTTGCCCTTTAAAAGAGAAAGGGCTTGGAAAATGCTGGCTATTGTTGTAAGATTCTTACTTGATATGTGTCCAGGAGTTCTTAGCCCCATATCGCCAAAGTGTACGTCAAAAAGAAGACTTTAAAGCTCCGTGGCAAATAATCCCGACATGTTTTTCATACTTTTTTTTGATAAAACCAAAGAAAACTCCGGTTTATTCTCAAGAAAGCTTAACAGGGCTTTACTGGAAAACCACAGCATGCCGTTGTATGTTTCCATTCCTCTGTACAAATGCAAAAATAAAATCACACTGCAACTTAAGGGTGTTGCCAGCATTTGTGGTCGGATTGTGGGTTTCTGCAGGAGGTATATGGGAATATGTGCAACTGCTAAGCCCTCCTGGCCTGCCCAACAATGTGCCAGTGTTTGATCCCGTCAGCCAACATCTGGCCTTCAGGAGAAGCTAAAGTTAGCGGCACATGCTGATGTCATTAGCGTAAAATGGGAGGTATATTCACAGAGCCATGACCCTCACACAGCATCCCAACACTGTGGAGAAAGAGCGGGATGATTAATATGATATTGGGATAAGGACAAGAGAGGATGGATTATACATCTGGGCGATTATGTAAGTGATTAATATTGATGTACTTCCACGGTTGATGGTGAGCCAGATCTTTCATGTCAGCGTATATCTGCTGCTGAACGAGAAGTGAGGAAAAAGACAAGTACAGGGTGGATCAAAGCTGTAACGATGCTGTAACGATGCTTGTTAGGATTTAATCAGTTCCACTCACCCCGAGCGGCTGGCCACATCTGTCCAATCAAGACCTGTCACCATGGTGGGCTCCTGGCTCCAGAGATGCATACAGTACTGCCAACCAAAATTTGGTAGGCGACCATGTTTTGAGGACCCCCACATCATCAGAGACTTGTGGTTATCGTGAGGTTTTCTTTGGATCCTCTGTGGCCCAGATCTCCTCACTGGTTTAATCGATACCATTAGACATGTGTCAACGATTAATAGATTGCTGCGGTAAGGATGCTGAGGTCACTCAGATATGATAATGTCTTTATTAGATGTGGGTTATTTAGGCCCTTGGGGAAGTCTTTCATTTGGTTTAGGCTTCCTCATTGGGTGAGGTCATTGCTTTGAGGCTTAGCTCCATTGGGAAGGAGCTAATTTAGTGGCAAGCCTCTCAACAGGCCCATCCAGAGTAATGGCTGAAGCACCTAATTGCGGTCTCCATAGCATCCACATTAAGTCACTTTGCTGGACAATTTGGCTCCACTGAAAACATTTTTTTTTGACCTTCTCAAGGAGCTCAGTACAGTGATGTAGGTCACCTCTGACCCTCTTTGTCCTTATGATCCCCGCTACACTATGCCTCTTCAGTGACTCTGCGGTCCCCTTTCGACCTTAATGTATCCGTATCTGCGTGGCACCATGTCCTTCGCAAATGACACGTGAGGGTTCAGACACATGAGACTATTAATTTGTGCTTGGCTACCCAATCTCAGGCTGCTCTGATGGGTTTCAACGGAAGAGGCCAGGGGCAGGAACAGGGGCCGCAGTGCATGATGTCTGTGATCTGCCATGGGAAACAGATGAGGTTATGATGCCCTTGTGACCCAGGAGTGTGGGGATCCCACGGGTCAACGGGGTTTCCCCCCCTTGTGGACACATTCAAGCTGTCATGAGTGTGAAAGGAAAAGATTGGAAATATGTGCAAGTGTGCATTCCAATCAAATTCCATTAGCTTATCATTACTGCCATTACCGTCACTATCTTCACCAGGAAACAGCATGGGATGTGAGTGTTCTTGTGCTAACATGTGGAGAACAGTGTCATGGGACTTTTTTTTGTGGTGGTTATCTCACAAAGTCCCAAACTGTCTAGTATGTAAATGTCTGAAAATATATGTATATTTAATCTTTGTTTTAGAATATAACATACCTAATATAGCACAATTCCTACTCTTGTCAGTGGTGGAATAATTATTCAGATTCTTAACTTGAGTAAAAGTACCAATACATCAATGTATGTGTATGTAAATACTCCATTACAAGTAAAAGTCCTGAATTAAAAAATCGTACTTAAATGTATTATCAGCAAACTGTACTTAGTGTATTAAAAGTATAACTTGTAATTGTTCAGACTAATTGCCTCCATGTGTGATATATTTTATAGGACATTTATAGATAATATTGTTGCATCAAGTAGCGTAGATAAACTTTTTGTAATATGTTGGATAATTCTAAATGTTCGTACCTTCAAAAGTTACTCCACAAAATGTAGGGATTCATTTGGTTAAAAGTTCTGAGAAGTAGCTAAATATCTTTAAAGAATGTAGATGAAAAAAAAAGAAAATTAGGCTATTTCCCATCAAAATGTAGTGGAGTAGGAAATACTCAAGTTAATTACAAGTACTTTACATTATACTTAAGCACAGTGATTGAGTCAATGTATTGACCACTGACTGTTGTAAGCCTACTATTAGCTTCTTAAAGTAGTTTCGTCCATACCATTATAATCGGATGTAATCGTTCTGAATGTAAAACCTGGATCGGCAAGGTAACACCTGTAAAAAAAATTAGTATACAATATATTTTTTTCCCATGTTGTGGTATTTTGAAAAGTCTTTATTCAGTCTTTCACAGAGCTCTGTGTTGCTCTGTAAAAATTTACGGAGCGACACGTCTCCATGACAACCGTTGCCGAGTCCAACAGTTCCATACCTGTAGTTAACTTCCACTTGGATACTGAGATTTCTAAAGTTTTATATCGTTTTAGCAATGCAGAGGACAATGAAACGGAGTTTAAGAACTTGCAGTAACATTTAAAACAAGGTATGTATACTTCCTGCTGTTTGTATTAATATATTTACGAATGTAAACGTTACTTTTTAGCTTGATGAAACCTAGTCAGACAAAGTTGTTAGCGCTAACGGCTAACCTGCTAGCGTTGGCTAATTATAGCCAGCTGTGTTTTTGGATTCCTATTTTGTATTTATTGGCAACAACGGTCTGTTTAAACTTAGACACAGTTACTCAAACTGTAGGCCTGTAAACAAAATATAGGCTATATCGTTAGCCAGTAGTGTAAAGTAACTAAGTATATTTACTCAAGTACCATTTTGAGAAACGTGTGCTTTACTTGAGTATTTCAATTGCTTGCTACGTTGTACTTCTACACCACTTCAATTCAGAGGTAAATAGTGTACTTTAACTCCACTACATTTATTTAATAGCTTTAGTTACTTTGCAGATTTGGATTAATTATATGGAATATAAACAACACTTAAATAACACTTCAGTTACACCTGGAGTAAATTCACAAGCTACCCTGCAGTATACAGAGACGTTACAATTTGCTGCACCTTTACCAGCTTTGATAAACACATTAATGCATCAATAATGATTATAAAACATGTTGTTTATATTATTCTGAAATGGGCCAATCTGCATAATGAGTATTGAATTGCATTTTTTATGCATATGCTTTCGTACTAGTTGAGTAACATTTTGATTGCAGGACTTTTAGTTGTAACAGTGTATTCTTATAGTCTGGTACTTCTACTATTACTTAAGTACAAGCTCTAAGTACTTCCTCCACCTCTGTCGTTTGCTCCTCGGGCCGAAACTAACATTATTAAACATTATAGTTTTCATTTACATTTTGAATGAACGTGTTTAGACAATAGTCTAACTCTATGCAGTCCAGTTTTTTTGGGGGGGGAAGCATACAGGATTGAATCCAATCTTCATGTTGACCCATTAATGATTTCTTCTAGAAGATGGAAAGGAAATATTTCCCAGATTTCGGTGTCTTGGTGCCTCATCCACCCAGCAAACCTCCAGAGCCCAAGCCTCCAGCTCTAAGTCACAGGCACAGACTCGCTCCAGTCAGAACATGCTCTGTGAATGAACAGATGGGGATCTACTCAGATATTATAACTAAACACAAGTTCCAGGTAAAAGCACACAAACTGCTCATGCATTTCACTCTTCAAATTCTGACAGACATTTCAATAACAAGCCCATGCAAATCACTGATCTTCTGTTTATTGATTAGTCTTTAACAGCGGGACCAGGCATCAAGCAGAGGTCACAGGGACGATCCATCGTTCGGTTTTGTGATCCCAACGCTACAAAGGGTGAGATATACATGACGGCAACTATGTATTTATATTTAACTTTTTGTGTAACTATATATTTATATTTTACTTTTTTAAATACAACATTTTACCCTGTGTAAAGCTTATGTCCTTCTGCCTTTTTGTACTTAGTTACAACCTTAAAGACTCCATCTGACCAGGGCAAGCATGTTGCAAAGCAAAAGCCTGGACCTACCTCACAACAATCACAGCAATCACAGCAATCACAGCAATCACAGACTTCTTACTTCCCTCGGGGTGGAGATTCACCCAAGGTCCAGATACCTTACCAAACAGCTCCTGGACAGGTCCCGCGCAAGTTAGAGATAGAGAGGTATGCACTGTGACACTTCAGCCATCGTTTCGGAGCTTTACTTGTTTTGCATTACCTGTAGTATGCATATTGTCCATACTGTTTTTTACTGGTCACATGATGTGAGTCAGTAAGACATTTGGCTTCTATCATACAGTACATATTCCGTTTTTATCTCTGATTGCAGAATTAGCTGTTTTAGTGTTTTAGTGCATTGTTTTACTTTATCTACATTTTGTCAATATTTGTTTATACTGATTTGTTTTCTTAAAGACGTCGAAGGGAATATTTGAAGTTAGACATTGAACAGCTCCTGGCAGAACAAGGCATCTATTCAAATCTTTTAATGCCAACACATCAGAGCAGCAGTGATGATCATGAGACTACAACAGACAATCCTGTTTCACCCTACTTATCCCTGGAAGTAAGTCTGTTACAACTGCCATTGTTTCTTTGGCATTTGGGTAGCCAATTACTGTTACATGCCACATTTTGTTGCACCACCCCCGATCATCTTTCCTGGTTTTCACCTTAAGGTATTTGACAATGAGGATTTTGAATGCCGGAATCCAGGAGACTGGCTTGCCCTGGGCATTGCTGAAAAATCACTGGAACAAAAACCTATCCCTGCAAAAGCTCTGCTGCCTACCGATGATGAAATTAATTCTGGTAAAATGTCCACTGAAAAGAACGGTGTAAACAGAAGTACACATCATTTTCTGTTCTTTAATGAGTACTCTTCTTTTTGTTTTGAAGATGAGCCACAAAGCTCCTCCCTGGAGTACAGCTGGCATCTAGTCGCTGTTCTTGACTATAGTAAGGAGAAATGCCAGTACCTTGTACAGAAAGTTTGCCAGAACAGCCAACTGACAGATGAAAAAGGTCGTCCGATTCTAAATGAAGAACACAAAAAGAGCAAATCTCCTGGTTGGTTGTGAAGTCTTTCCACTTTAATGAAACAGAATTATCCTACAATTTCCTCTTGTCTCTGTTTTTCATTTTGACTTTCCATACCATCCATTTCTCACTCGTGATATATTTCAACACCATGCTAGCAGGCACAACGTTCTGGGTACCCAGGATCAGATTGGTTTTCAGTGCTGAGGACCCACGTGTGTTTGTCAAACGGATCCAGTTTGCCCTGCGCTGGCAGGAAAACACAGAAGCTCTGCTTCTCTATCACCTTTCTGTGGACTGCATGCCAACCTGGAAGGGAACCCCATCTCTTGATAGCCACGCTCTCCAGAGTATTAAAAGAGCCACGCTTTCAGCCCCCGGGCTCGGACAGAAAATGTGAGTGATGTCATATTACTTCTGTCATTATTCTCCTTATTATCTGTTTTGTAATAGATTCCTCTGAGTTCATGTGTTAACTTACTAATCGGGTGACTAAAGAAAACATTCTTTGTACAGTTTGGAGAAGTGTATCGGGGATCTGGAGAAGGAGCTCAAACTGGATTATGAGCGGACAATGAACCGCATGAGATTTGACAGAGTTGTGATGAGAAACCCAGAGGAGTTTTCACACATCACCCTGCCACAGAAGGGTCCTGAATATGTACCCCAATCAGGTGAGACGATTAGCTGTGTGCACATTTGTTTGAGTCAATCTGGTCAAGATTTAAGAATACTACTTTTTTTCCCACCCACAGGGCGTGTTCCAGTTCCCACGTTTCCCTATGAGAAGTATAAAACAGCTTTCTTCTTCAAGTCCCTGCTAACAAAGCCAGAGGTGATCCGTGTGTTATCTGAAATCTCGTCTGAGTGCAACAAAGTAGCAAACATGAGGCTGTTCAATGTCACCTCGGTCAAACCACTCCGACTCGACGAGTTTGAAGTCATTCAGGCTCAAATGCATACTCAGGTATCGTAGCATTGGGTAGCTTTTCTTCTGGCAATACTGTTAGTAGCTGACATTGAAAAAAGAGAAACCTTGACTGCAAGGAAAACACCTGGATTTCACATTAATAAAGACGCTTTTAATCTTTGTGTCCTCCTCATTCTCCAGGTAAGCTTATTTCTTAGGGAGGGATGGATGGTCTCACTGAGCAATTGCATCCGATTCCACCTGCTGAGTTTTGGCCCTGGCACTTACAACGTGGACGAGTCTCACTGGGAGATGTACAAGATGTCCAAGCTGTACAGATTGATGGCTGTGGTGCGCTACAACCTGCAAGACTCTATGCGCCACCTGGTGCAGGCCTCGCTGCTCCGCCTGACTCTGCTGCTGTTAACCACCTGCCACAGTGTGCTGACATGTCCTCAGGACCTGGTCTGGGGGGACGACCTCGTCACTAGCCCATATAAGTAGGAAATGATGCACACATTGAAATGTATTTAAACATCTTCATATATCGTTGTGCTCAAATGCATCTTTTTCGAGTTATTTATGATATACGGTACTCATTGAATTTTTAGGGACAGTTCGCCAATTAAAAAATACACATTATTCCTCTTACCTGACTATCTAGGTTATTTTTGTCTGGGTGGTCAAAGATAACGGCTGTAACAATCTAGGCATTCTTTGGAAAATAATGGAACTAGATGGCACCAGTATTGTTGTGCTCACAGAGTCGAAAAGTAGTCTTAACATTTTAGAAATCATAACCCTTGTTTTGACTAGATTTATTTCTGTGTGGTGATGCGATTGGCTGGTGTAGTTTGGTAGAAAGAAAATAGTTCCTCACTAAAACAGCAGATTTTCCTGAGTAACCCGGCCCTGATTCAAAGAACATTTGTGGCCGTTTAGTGTCTTATTTGTAGTTTTTTTTAGATCTTTAATCACAGCCATCTAGATTCATTATATTCAGGAAAAACTAGACATCTCATCTGATTTTGAAGAGAACTGTAACTTTAAGTGTTTGATAGTGAGTGTGACATAACCTGTCAATAACATTATCTCCATTCTCCATAACTAGGTCAGAAAGGACTCCTCTGTTCCTGTTGGACTTGATTCTGGATCAGACTGGGGTTCATTACAGCACTCCACTCGAGAACTTTAAGACATCCATGGTCAACCTGTTCGATAAGGCCATTCTGGCCACTTACAAAGTACCTCAGCTTGATAAGGTACATTTTTATCACCTGAATCACAGGGCATTACATTAGAATGCAAGGCTACACGAGACCTGTTAGTAAACATACTCAGAGTAGGGCTGTCCCGAATACCATTTTTCGGGCTCCGGATATTCTGTAGTTTTGAAGGAGAGTTAGCACTGTTGACAGTAAATTGTTGTTGCTATGAACAACGTGACGGAGATTAACGGAGAAAAGTCATATCTACATATAAAGACGGAGAAAGTAAACGATAAAGTTTATGGTTAAGTGTTAGCACCCCCCGAAGAGGCACAAGCTCTTACGTTGATATTGGAGATTTCAATAAATTCAATTTTAACCAAAGAAAACGAAAACGAACAACGAAATTTAAACCCGAATAGTACTCCAACGAACGGATATTCGGATATTCGGGTACAGCCCTAACTCAGAGACAAAGATGTAATGGTTGTCTCCTTATTCAGTTTGTAATGAAGAAGATGTTCGTCGCTGGGGATCCATTGCTTGAGTCAGTGAATCTTTGGGAACCAGAAGTAACTGCGCTGAGAGAAAAGGTCTCCAATGCTGTGATGCAAGGAGTCATACCTCTCAGGGCCTATGCTGCTGAGTATGAGAAATACTTAGATTTACACAACCTGGACATAGAAACCCTTCTCAAGTAAGTCTGTTAAAAGCATCTATTCAAGTTTTCCCACAAGGTAAAGGGTCGGTGTGATTTATGGTCCACTCAGCATGCTTTCCTCATTACAGAGAGTCCGTTAATCTTTCCTCTGCCAGATCTCCTGCGAATGCAGAACAGACATCCCAGGAAGTGAAAAAAGAGGTGGAACAACATCTCAAAGACAAGGAAACACTTGAGCACTCTCTGCCGTCCTCCATTGTAATTGGAACATTTGTTATTCGAGTGGAGGGTGTACGTCAGGCTCTCTCCAACAAGAAAAAGGCTTTAGCCAATGCAATGCTGGCCACCCTTGCTGGGAAGCTAAGCAAGCAGGTTGATGAAGTAAGTCATTTGTCTTAAGGCCAGAACATGTATACATATACATATATGTATTGGTATAATTGGTGTGATTTGATTTCTTCACACTGGATCTAAATGTACCTCCTTTTGAACGTGTTTAACACTGATTGTATCTTGCGTGTGTGTAGGCATGTGAAGAGTACAACACAATCAGTAGAAAGCTGCGTGAGAAACTGAACAGCATTGAAGAACTGAGTGAGAAGAGGGAATGGATGAAGCAAGTCCCAGACCAGCTCAAGAGTTACAAGGTGCATTCGCAATCATCGACTGGCTATTTTCTTATGTGTCATATAAAGGGTTAATTTGTCATTTAATCTGATTTGTCCACACAGGAAGTTATTGGAAAGACCCTGTCAGACTATGAGCTAATAGAAGAGCTTCGCTACTCTCTTTCAAATGAGAATGTTGATAAAAAGTAAGAGTAACATCAATTATTGTAATGTTTTGAAAACTACGTTTGTACTGTATGTTCTCATGTGAGATTAGATTTCTTCGGTGAATGGAGTAGACTTTGGAGTTATTACAGTGAGGCTAAAGCTACTTCTCTCTGCAGGTGGACAGCTATTAGATGGCCTCAAAAGATAATAAGCCAGATGGAAGCAGCGGCCGCCCAGCATTTGGAGGATGAAGAGCGCTTCAATAAGATTCAGCTGGCCGACCAGAACAACTTCGAGGACCACCTCGACTCGCTAAAGGTCAGCCGAGCCGAATAGGTTATTTTGTTCCATAGATACTGAACTAGAAGCATCATTTGAATGCACCTGCAAGTAGATCCCTTTATGATAGTTATTTCTTTCTTGGACAGTTAGACACATTTTAGACCAGGGCTATTCAATTGGCGGCCCGCGGGCCAAATCCGGCCCCGGGGTGATATTTACTGGCCCTTTGAGTATAATGTATAATTTTTTTTGGGCCAGAGTGCCTTTATTCCAGAGAGGGTGTTAAATTGAGAGATAGAGGGGAAGACAATGCCTGAAAACTTTGGCGGGCTCGGGTTTTGAACCCACCTACTAGCTACTGTAGTGTATTGCATCTCTGCGTGAATGATTAGATCTTTTCACCTAAATTAAATCAAATGAAATGATGTTGATGGTTATATCAGCTTCACATGTAGGCCTACTGAGTTCTGAACTTGCCATTTAGATCTATAAAGGCCTTGGGGCTATGTTGTTTGATTTAATTAAACACAATATATGCACTCCACTGTTTAAGTATTTACTGTATCTGAAGCTCTTAATATGATTGCTCATATTTCAAGCCATCTTTTTCCCGGCCCCTTGCTTTGGATCATTTTCATCAACCGGCCCCATTCCAAACTAATTGAATAGCCCTGTCGTACACGATGCTTTAACCAGGTTCAGTAAACAGAGCATC